AAACGATTAGAAGCCATCTTGAATTCCAACTTGTGTTCTCGTTTTAATTCCCTCTCGGAAACAGAAATGATCAAAAACTGTCGTCTCTCTTCTTGATTTAAAGAACAAGCATCTTGATTTACAAAAAGTATCTCTTGATACATGACAAGAAACACGCGGGAATTGAAATTAAATTCTATAATCTTGACACATTCAAAAAGCAAGTTGATGCTAATTGTATCGATCTTGATAGTGTACTTGTGGATTTGAATTATAAAGTTGCATCTTTGATATTTTGTCACTTTTGGCGAAGCATAGATGCCCATAATATTTACAAGCAAATTCATAATACCAAACTGGTTTTAAACGTTTGTAATCGAAAGATTCTACATTTATACTGCCTTGACGGTAAAAATTACAATTAATTCTCCAAAATCTACCCTGCCGTTTACAGTAAAAAACCTAAGGCACTGAATCAAAATTTTTTCTACATATTCCCATGTGAATATTTCATTCATTGTCCATTTCTCTTTCTAAGCTAAGTTTTGCAAATGACTCACGCTCGCAATACAAGAAAAATCTACAAACGGACAGCTAGTAAAAAAATAACGAAAGCTCCGGATTTCTCTAATAGGCCTCTTCCGAGTTCGTAAAACTCTAATTTTTAGAACGAGGCTTAGTACAAAACCCTTTCTTGTGAAAATGAGTTTTATTTGCATGAGAATAAAGGAACATTTTCATATCAATGGCTTCGCACTTAGTCTCGCTTCGAAACAGAGGCTCGGAGCCACTCAGAAATGGCCCATTGCAAGGACGATCACATCCACGGAGTCCAGGCCCCATTCTCCTTTGCTACTTGTCGCGCCTTCGGGTCACCTGGTTTATTAGCAGGAGGTAACGCACCACTCATGTAAGACTGCACTCGATCTTGGAACTTCTTTACCATATCCGGGAACTTTTTGCTAAGGTCGTACTTCTCATATGGGTCAGCGGTGATATTGTAGAGGGCTACATCGACAAGGGGAACTGGAGGCTAAAAAACATATAAAAGTCTTGGTACTAAACGGAGCAAAGAAAAAATATTAGATTCTACAGCTTGAGTCTTAACAAAACAGCAAACACATTTTCCACATTAGTCATATCGCGCAGAAATAGTGGACATCAT